ATTATGAGCATTGATTCCCTGCAGCAAAACAACCTGTGAACCTGTTGATCCCGGCTAGAAAACATGGCTGTCGTCCATAAATATACTGTAAAGATAACCTAACTGGAGCTTAAATCAGATCTTTTTCCCCCTGATGGGTAACGATTGGAAAATCTGGTCTTTTATGTGAGCGGTCGAGCCAAAAAGCTTCCCTCTACAAGAGCCCTGCTGATGTCCTGCCATGTGGTGCTTATCCTTATCCAAGCTTAGTCCATATCCATGAGTGTGTTTGCATTGGGATTTATGAATGTGAAGATGGCCCATTCTTGCCACTCAAGATGACTCACAAGACCGGCGTTTTGGCCACTTACGCTGTGAAAGCAGCCTGGGGGATGCCCTTTCAGCACTCGAGGACCTCTGGCTGAGTCCCCTTCACACGGCAGATCAGCCTCACTTGGGAAAAAGTCCCTGCTCTTTACAGGGGGAGCTGTCCTGAGAGATGGCGCGCTCCTTGTCCCAGGGCCTCCCTCCTTCACCTGCCGGCTTAGTGCTCATCACTTATGCACATAATCCCTGGTTAGTGCATGTGATCCACTAGCCCGGGCCCAGGCCCCTGGCCCCTGAGCCTCCCCTGCTCACATGCTTGCTGGGTGGCTCCTGGGTGGCCATGGCAACTGTCATCTTCTCATGACAGTTAGGCTTCAGTCATTGCTCTAAGTCCCTCTTCAGTCTCTGTGCGTCTTTTTCTGTCTGCTGCTTTCTGTCTCCTAAAGCCCTCCTCTGTTTGTGTGTTGCTCTATCTATGGCTCTCTGTCTCTCTTTTCTCTCAGTTTGACTGTTCCCATGCTTTGGCCCAGCTGAGTCTGAGGAACCAGCCATAACTCAGCAGCACTGCGGCACCTTCAGGGGCCACAAAAAAACTGTATCAGTGTTATTCTAGTCTACTTTTAAAGACTGGATTCACCATCACTGTAGACCAAATGAAGGCCTGACCTCATTTAATTGTAAGTCTGATCTGTAAACGGAGATTGTAAGATACACTTGTGCACTTCTTTTCTTTGTGGTCACTGCAGGCCTCTGAGTGCAGATCGTCTTACCTCGAAGCGACCCCGCAGCCTCGACCATTAGTTTGTTTAAGGTGCTGAATATCGCGCAGGCCCTCGGGGGAGAACGGGAGAGGCAACCCAGCGATGTTGTGTGGCCCCACACTAACAAGTGTCACAGTGATCCCAGCTGGTCCTCCCCCTGTGTGAAAGCCATGTGAGAGGCGGCTCCATCCATGCCCCTGGCACCTCCGCACAAGGCCCTCCATTGACTTCTAACCTGTTGAGGGACCACGGGAGACAAAGAGCCGCGGGGCGGGGCCCGTCCCTCCGACAAGCCTGTGAACAAACGTTAACACGGCTGCAACTGTCCACCCCCTGAATCACTGAATTTATTGACCAACCACAGAGCCCATTCAGGCCTGGAAGGACTGATAAAGGAAGGGGGACAGGGATGCCATGAAGGCCCAGGGAAGGAGCCCATGCTTAGGGGACAGGAGGGAGGAGAAGGGCTTTGTGACCGTCTGGTGGGTCACAGACCTTTTACCAGACGTGGGTGCCTTTGTGTCATCCGTAAAATGAGGCCAACCGTAAGTGAGCATCAGGTTGGCCTTGTGTCCTGACTATTAATCATGATGAGGGCTGTATGAGTGTCCAGCAACCAGTAGAGAAGCTGCAGCCAACTGATGTCTGCTTGTAAACTTTGAGAAGAATAAGTGAATGCATGTGCGTGCTGGATAGTAACAGACACGTCCAGAAAACACCTGAATTTTTGTTGCAGAGAAGTTTGTTACAGTGGCAGTTACTCTACAAAATATTCTGAGCTGGTCTGATCACTCTGTGGGATCCGTTGTAAGTAAAGAAGCAGTAAACAAAGACTGTGTGCACAGGCCCAAATCTTGAAAGTACACAACTCAGACAAAAAACCGTATGGGCAAAAGAGAAAGGAGATGAAGTCCAAAATGTTTGAAATAGCACACGTCTGAGCGCAAGCTTGAGAAAATCTTTTTCAGCGAGTAGCTAGCTGTGAGGAAGAAAGGCTGTGTGTTTTAGCTTCTTTATGTCTTTCCACCACTCTCCATCTGTTGCTCTACTGATACAAAAGGAATACAGCAGAGAGTACACAAAAACCCATATTGCTTTGTGGAGAGGCAACACTATCCACAAAACTACATCGCAAACACCGATGGAAAGCAAGACATCCCGACTCTGTACACATCAGTGTTTACTGAAAAGATGATCCGTGCAAGTCAGGGAGACACACATGAATTCATGATGCCTCCTCATCCTCATCATGAATATTCCCAAAAAGGCTCTTCCCTGATCTGTGGGAGATTCTTTTCTTTTTGGTACAAGCGAGGACCCCCTTCCCTTATTCACAGTCCCCTCTAAATCCACCCATTCACTGCCTATGGGCCCTGATCTCCACATGAAATGATACCCCTCTTTCTCCTCCACTCTCGCGCCTTTAAGCGCCCATATGCCAGGCAGCGAGGAGGCTGGGAAAGCCCATAATTGATCAGTAAGTCTTGGCTGAAAAAGTGTGACCAAGGTCAGCCCCCCACGAAGCACGCAAGAGTGGCTTAATATACAGATTTATTGGGAAATGTAATGGGAGTTCTGCAGAGCAAACACCGGGATATTTGTTGACATAAACTGAAAACATTTTTGTGACGTTGTAGAAATACGAAAATAAGTTTATTGCAATTTTCAAAAACATTCCCTTAAAAATATTGCTCTTTTTTATAGTAATAATGGAGACATTTTGGTGATTATTTTTTTCTATTTTCACATTTATTTCATTTTGTACACTTAACTAGAAAAATATGCTGTGTACAACAGCTGTAAACAGTTACCTAAAAGTACTGTATAAAAATCAAACGTTAAAATCAACTATTATAAAAATTGATTGAAAATTCAAAATTGAAGATTCATTTTGATTAATTTGTTTTGTTTAATTTGTTTAATCAATTAAAACATCATCACCTCTGAACAGTACCTTAGTAATGTTAAATGGTGTAATTAAGGCAAACCTGCATTAAAAAAAAAAAAGAAAAAAAAGATTCATATTTTGAGATTTTAAGAACATTTCATAATGCATCCAAGGGATAACGAAATGGTTCATTTTGATTCTCTTGCAGTACTGGTAGTACTTTTTTTTTTTTAAAAAAAGGGACACAAATTTCTGCTTCTCTCTTCCACAGGAAGAATTTCAGCAAAGCAACTCTAAGAAAAAAATGCAGCAGTGGAATGTTTTCTGTCATAGAAATACAACAGTATCAGTCATATTCACAGAACTGCAAAAACAGATAAGTCCTCATGTTTCTTTGAATCCATACGACCTCAAACTGCTTTACAACTTTTATATTTTAGCAGCAGTGGAAAGATTCATCCAGTGCTTTTAACAGTGACAAGTGAACGAGAAAAGCAGCAGCTGGATACTGTATCTGTGTCTGATGTCAAACCGCCAAAGAATGTGCCTCTCACTTCAGATATTGGATCGGATAATGAAAAAAACAAACTTATACCATACTCACTGTCCAGTGTAGTAGTTGCATTTTGTTTGCCATTGGAATGAAGTACAATAAAACATCCAGTCGTACTGAAGGAGTAGTTCAACACTTTGGGAAATACACTGAGCGTTAGCTGAGAAGATTGATACCATTCTCACGCCTGACGGCTAAATACGAAGCTACTGCTAGCAGCCAGGTAGCTTAGCTTAGCTTAGCTTAGCACAGAGCCTGAAAACAGGGGGAGCAGCTAGCCTGGAGCGTGGTCATCACCGTGAGGCTGCCAGGTAACCAGTGGAGACTTAACCACCCGTAAAACCATAGGTAATTTTTACCCTTCAATTTAAGTATAGATAAAACCAACAAGGTAAAACGTGGTGAAAGCAGAAGTCATTCATTTTCTTCGCGAGCCAGCATCTCTTGGCAGCGAGCAGTGGCATGCCTGTTAGCAGCGCATCTTGGGAAACTTTATGGTAATCAGCTATGACGCGGTTCAGTGTTCTGCTCTGGAGAACACTAGAGAACACAACCGTGTAATCTGTTGTTTCCATCAAACATCTTTTCCCAAGCACAAAGGAGGAGACACTGATAATTGCAGTGGCATGTTTCCCCGTCCTTTACATCATGTCCCTGCTTGCTTCCAGAGACTTAAATTTAAAAAAAGATGCATCATGGACAAAGATGATCGTTGACACTGTAGATGTTCCAGGTGAGTTGGTAAAGAGTAGCCTATAATATATTTTGTGAAAATAGAAGGGAATTGCATGCTAACTAGCTCCACAGCATGCAGAATGTTGTTGCTTGACAACTTGATGTGAATCAGTCAGTAATATTAATGTCACTAATTTAAAAGATTTCATGTAGCTTACTTATACAGTACTTGTGGTCAGTTGGCACAAAGACACTGGCTGACATGTTGGTCGCTTTGCGGGCCTTTTAAATACAGATTGTAAAGATTTTTAGTTTTGGACAGAGCCAGGCTAGCTGTTTGACACCTTTTACAGTCTTTGTGCTAAGCTAAGCTAACCGCCTGCTGTCACTACTTTCATATTTACCATAAGTACTTATGGTATTCTCATCCGATTCTCTGCAAGAAAGCAAAAAAAATGCATAGTATTTCCGAAAACACTGAACTATTCCTTTTACAGAGGCCTCTGGCTCAGGTTTCAGCAGTGTGATACGACAATACGACTAAAATCCAAGTGCTGGAAGTTTGTCCATTCTGATGACCTTGATGAATCAAAATGGAGGAGAACATTATGTATGAGCAGCTCACAGTATCAGTCATTCAATACAGGAGTCCTCTTCTTCATAAAGGCTTGTTAGCTGGCATCCGTTAGGGTCCGCCTCCTAAATAAAATCATCTGACCGTCCGTAACATCTCTGACTTGTGCTAACTCAACATACAGGCTTGTCGGGGGCTTTAGATTTAGTCTGTGCAGTAGTTTGCTCGTTGGTCACGTTGGTGTCAGAGGGGGGCTGAGATGGGGGACTGTGGATCGCTGGCGTAGGTGACCGTGGAGGGTCTGGGGGGCCAGTCGGAGTCGTCCTGCAGCTCCAGGGCCAGGTGCATGTAGCGCACCCTTGGAGGCTTGTTTCTCCGACAGAACAACCAGGAGAGGAAGGACGAGGCCCAGCGGTCATTGGCCACCTGGGAACATGCGCAGTATGAACGTGGTAAAGAAAACTAGTTAGTGAGGTTACATTATAGATATTTGTATTATTTATATCTCTTCTGAATGAACAAGTGAATCAAATTTTCTGTGTTTATGTGACCAGAACAACCTGAACAACCAAGCAACACACTTTCATTTTTGTTTACATGAAAACTTTGGGACTGGTTGAGGGCGAAGATTTGAATTCTGTTCTTCCAAGAGTGTGTTCAAAATTCACCAAATTACAGCATAAATATCAGGAAGTTACGCTGATTTTTTATATTTCAAGGATTATGAGTGGTTCATAATAATGTGCAGCAACATGTCAACAAAGTAGAGCCGCTCTTGACTGAAAAACAGTAAAATAATGTAAAAAGAAAAAATATTAGCAACAGGTTAAAGATGAAAAGTTGAATAATATACATTTTTTAACATTACACAAATGTAATATATGTACATGTATTGAATTTCTATATATGAAATATTTGTATATATAAAATAAAATCATACAAAAGATTATATGAAACCTATTAGAAATTGGAACAATTTCATATACTGACATATACTGTATGTCAATCCCATGCAAATGTTTATGTATGTATGATTATATTGTAGACATATGTTACATAAAAATATATCAATCCCAAAGCCCAAAATATATGTTGATATTATATATGGTTCCAAAAGTCTGAGGGTTAGACAGACATACAGACAGACATGTTTAAACAGTTATACCATATAAGAATCATCATATAGATATTTTTAATATATGTACATGTATTTTATCAGGGGTATTTATGGGTATGTTATAAATTTATATCCAGAAATATCCAGAGAATGTATATATATGATAATAATATATCCCCTCTTAGGTGACATATAGGGCAACATCACTCTGAAATAGGCCCATATATTGCATTTTCGTATCGGTTTAGTTGTTTGTAGATAACCCATAGAGTCTATATTATTGACATTTCATATGTGAAACAGATCATCAGAAGAAAATATGCAAGAAAGCAAGAGAATCAGACCAGAGTTAAGGAAAAGGTGTCGCTATCTAGACAGTGAAACGAGGCAAAAACAGAAAAAAAGTGTAGTCAAAAGCTTCCCAACCTGAGGTGTGGCAGCAGAGCGGGACTCTGTGGGGCGGTTTGCCCCCTGACTGCCTCTGAAAACTAGCCTCCACAAGATGATGTCAAGGATCAAAATCTACGGGAGATTTCAGTGGGAACTTGAGACTCAGCCGATCAAACATGACAGGGAGGATGAAGATTGGGTTTCAGCCACAGACGCACAAAGACAAAAATAACTCAAATGCAAACTTAAAAGAAAAAAGATTCATTGATTTCATTCATTAGGCAACAATGAAGCTACTACGGAGTACTAATTCAGCACGGGAAAAAAAAAAAAATCAATGCATGCAAATCACAGTTTTCTAATTTAAACAAAGATCAGTAAGGGAGAGCTTGTAGGGTGTGATGTGTACCTCCAGCATGAAAGACACAGCCGCATTCACTATGACAATGACCACCAGTGTAATGCGCCAGTCGTGGGGAACACACACGATCTGAGGGGAGGCAGAGCAGCGGGATGAGCACACACGGTTTTCACCAACTTCATGCAACACCCAGAAAGAAACACGGGGTTTACCTCCAGGAAGCTGTCGATGGCCGGAACAGGATGCAGCAAGATGAAGAGGAGGAACATATACAGAGCGATGCAGGACAGCATGAACGGCCCTTATGAGATAAACATACAGAAATACGGTCAAACAGCGTTTTATAGTTGTTTTCAACTTGCAAGAGCATCACACATATATATATATAGGACTGGATTGCTGCCGGTAGAAAAACTTGATTTATAAAAGGAAAGTTTAAAAATTAAAGGAAAATTAAAGTCTACAGGAATTACATTTACTTCTCTGACAACTTTATATCTTTAAAATATATACTTTAAAAATTCCTACTTATTAATTATGATGCCACAGTTCAAAATGTGCTTGGCAAATTCAAACTCATTCTGCGCTGACTCTAATCTCCTTCCACATACATTACTGAGACAATCCGCTCTCCAGCAGGACTACATAAGCCTTACAGTTCTTGTAGCTTGGCTGTCTGAATGGCTTTCCCTTGGAGAAGATGATGGCCACAGCCAAGTACTGGAAGGAGGAGACGTAGAAGAGGGTGGTGTTCTCGTAGTTCCTGATGTTTTTGTGGTCGTGAGGAGTGGTTACGTTCTGGCTGTGAGAGAGACTCGAGCTGGAAATGTTACAGGCGCTGCAGGTGGAGAAACGACAGAGGGGTAAATGTAGACAGTTAAATCATACTGCTGAAAAGTTCATAAACCAGGAAGCCAGGAAAAAATAAACAGAGAGGAAAGTATTAGAATTAAAAAATGTCACTGTTTTTAGACTTTTTTTCCCTCTGTACCGCTGTTTTTCTTCTTTTTGATTACTAACCAGTTTACATTGTATAAAATCTGTTCTTGAAATACAATGAGTGAGTTTTTCAACATTATTTCTAGAATCAGATACTGCAGGACTCAAGATAATGCAGAAGTAAATTCAATTGCAATTTAAAACTAATTTATACAGCTTATTTTGTGCCTTTTTTTTCTTTTTGATTCACTTCATTGTTACTATTTGAATTTTTAAAAAGCTGGAGATGTGTGCAGCAATCCAAAGGGGGAGCCAGGGTGAGGTGTACATTAAGCACAGTGTGTAATTTATTATTATGTCTTTACCATTTAGTGATTTACTGATTTATCATTGGGCAGGTGTTAATTTCAGACGTATTACTCACTCTGACTGAGGTGTCCATATCTCATACCAGCTCTGCTGTCGCACTAAGAGGAAAGCCAGGACTTGGAAGACCAGGCAGGTGAGGATCTGGGTCAGAACCGAGCAGAGCAGCGGGCCGGAGATCAGACTGGACGGGGGGCGACGCCACACCAGCTCCTTCCACGCCGGGTTCAGACTCACTGAGGACAGAAACCAGAAAAAGGCAGCATCAGTGAGTTGCTTTTCCAGAAGTTAATGTTGTATTTGATTGCTTTTGTCTGGCCCACAAAACTGAATCATTGATTAAAAGGATTTTTGGTGCTCGCCTTCACGCTACTCACTTGTAAAGGCAATGATGAGAATGATGGCGATGTCAATGAAGAGGAACTGGAAGTCTCCCAAGTTGCTGAGGATCTATAATATCAGAAATGTTGAAGATGAATCAACGATCACACAGCAGCAGACAAAGGAACAATGAACAATATCCACACGAACCAATAAAACATGCAGCTTCAATAATAATTTCATGAAATAATACAATGTGGAGTGAAACATAAGAATCAGATAGAGCCTTGTGTTTACCGAGTAGAGCAGGGTGACACTGAGGTACTGGATGATGCTGTAGAGAGCCATGAACTTGAACACACAGAATGATGTTATGAGGGCGGCTCGACCCTCCCTGGAAGATGAGAAAATCAGATACAGAATTTCACAGCTCAATATTTTTGTGCTTTGCAGCTCAGAAAACTTTTAAGTTCGGCTCCAAAATTTACCGGTAAAACTGAGATTGTACATTTTATTCCACGAGAATACGATGATTTTCTACTGCTGTAATTAGTTTCAAGTCATGAGTGTCACCGTGAACCCTGTGTTGTAGTGATAGGGAGAAGTTTGCAATCTTGTGTAAAACAATTGGTGACACACATTTTGATATATTTTGGTATTTAAAATTCTCTATTCTGAATGATACCATCCATGAGAGGATACCTGATGAGGTTGGGGACACAGGAAATGTTCGAGGTGGAGGAGGTGAAGGGTGAAGCAACAGATGCCTCCAGCTCGGACAGAGAAATCCCACTGTGAGCTCTCTTCAGAGCCTGAAGGAGAGAAAACTTCAGTATTAGAAATCACTTTGCTCTAACAGTAAAACCCGGAACTAAAGGTGGAAAATAAAGAACCTGAAACCCACTAGTCCTGTCCTTGCGTAGTTTTTATCCACTGCTTTTTACTTACTGTGTGTGTAAATGTGTGAATGTGGCTCTAGTGTAAAGAACTTTGAGTGGTCAATAAGACTAGAAACGAGCTGTATAAATACAGTCCTCGTAGAGTCACAGTATGATAATCTGGTGAAAACAGCTTCTGTCACAGTTTAAACTAAGAGAACCAAGAGAGCAGAAAGAAGGCCCGGGGTCGGCCATTGATGATTTAAAGCGGTTCATGAGAATGACACTTTTATTTTTGATATTCACTTCTAATTCTGATACACTCACACTTCTTAATTAAACAAACTTTTGCTTAATTACAGGATATTTACTTTTACTGGACTGTGCTATTGCTGCTTTTACCAGAATAAAGGATTTGAATACTTTTCCCTCCACTACCCACAAACATTAGTAGCTGCTTTGAACTCTTTTGCCTTAACAGACAAGGACACATGGGTATTTTCAGGTGTGACCTCTTGTGTCATGGTGTCCCATCAGATATTGATTCACTCATGTGGATCAACCTGGAATGAATTGTCACAGTTCTTGGCTCAGAATAAACTAATCAGCAATTAGTTTTGACAGAAAGAAAATATTCAGAATAAAGTGTAAAAAAACATTGCACCAAAAACATAAATTCAAGCTGATTAAGTACCTCAGGATACATGTATAGAAAGTGTTATGATTTGCCTGATTGGAAACATTTAATCCATACTTACTCCACAGTCATTAGCACCATCACCACACATCCCAACTGTGTAGCTGGAAGGTAAAACAAAGTGGCTGAAAGTTAAACATTTGCCACAGATGACGATGCTACAAAATCACAAAGACTGAAATGAAGCTCTGTAACAGACAAAAACCAAAGCCACAAAATCAATGAGAGACTCACTCGATGCTCTGCAGGACTTCCACCAGCTGAGTCTTCTGGTCTGGAGCCATGCGCGCAAACACAGAGGCTCTGAGCACGAGCTGCGCCGCCCCCATGTGGACAGACAAAGAATTACAGCAACACCCAAAAGACATGACAACCGAAACTCGATCATTTCTCTTTTAAGTGAACTCCACGTAGCTTTAAAACTAATACTAATCTGAATATGCAGATGCTCATATACGAGCCTGTACCTTTGGGACGAGTTGAGGGAAGTGCTCGGCGATGACAGCGAAGGCTCTGCCACTCACAGCGAAGTGATAGCTTTGTTCCTGCAGAGCCTCACGCTTGTCACACATCCCTTCCTCCAGGTTTATCTCCACGCTCTAGAGAAGAGAGGACGAGTCAGTTGCCGAGCATGGCTCGTGGAATAACGTTGTAGAGCTTCAGATTTAATCTGACAAACGTCTCCTTCATAGACACCTTCCTGTGCTCTTTCCTGACTGGTTCATGCAAACTGGGCTGCTGATAAATGCTCCGGAACAACGACTGCCTACAGAGACATTCACACCGAGCATGTCAAACTCTGCAGTGTGTATTTCTTTGCTTTAGTTTGTTCAGATATTTGAGAACAATACTGTTTGAAGTCGAAGCACAAATGACTGCAAACACATGCCTGAGCATCTCAAGGACTCAAACAGCAGGGCACTTTGTTTCTTCCCTGATCCATGATGGTGATAATGATCAGGCTGCCTGTGAGACCATGTAGATATATGTGTTGTTTATATTCTATTTTACTCAACGGCTCTGAGATTTTCTGTCTTACCTGATTGTCTTTGACTGTCTGAGCGGGATTCTCTCTGTAATGCCATGTGATACTAGCAGACTGCAAATCTTTAGGAGGCACAGCATCTGCTATAATGATCTTCTCGTGTGCACGGATCATGCCGCAGTCTCGAGCCACTGATATGGCCGTCAGCATGTTGTCACCTAACAGACGATGCAGGAGAAAGAAGGAAAATGAGAGCGTGCTGACACAGAAAGTGTTGAGTCATTGAACACACTGAGCTGCGTTACCTGTGACCATCAAAGTGCGGATGTTAGCTTGTCGTAATTCACGTAAAACCCCGGCAGTTTCCTGCTTTATTTTGTTCTGCATGATGATCAAACCGAGGAACTCCATGTTGGTCTCTATCAGGTCCCTGAAAGCAACACAGCAATCAACTCACCATTGATTTATCACCCATACTGTTTCAGAGTCACGTTATAGATTCAGATTTCAGGGAATCAGTGAAGGTGACAGACAATAAAGGACACAACTTTTGATTTGTCATTAATAGACATCATAAATATGTGATGAAGGGTTGTAATTCTCTTATTTGACATCCTGCCCTCCTGCTAACCTTCCTTGTCCACATCTACTTCAGTTAATGATTTTCTACATTTATCAGAATGACGGCAAACATCCAGACACAGGCGGGAATGTGTAAATGAGGCAAAAAAAACGACCTTAATCGTTAATATCGGGGTGAGTCTACGATTGCTGTCACAACCTTTGACTCAAGTTGCGCAATATATTGTGGCAGCAGTGCACTGTGACAGGTGGAGTCTACTGTTGGTGGAAAAACTAATGCTTTTACTGCTTTTCTATGATGGATTTCTCCCTGCCTGTTGCAACATAGTGAGTCGAGCAAATAGTTTGAAGTTTGAGCCTGAGATTCTTTGACACCAAATTCTGACATGCTTTAGATAACTGGAACATTTTCCGCCCCGCTGTGGCAGCACTGAAGATATTTGGACATTATGTAATTTCATGTGATGTTTGCCCAGTTATCAATGGAATCAAATCAGCAAATTGACAAAGCGGATTTCCGACAGAGTTACAGTGTTTCGGGGTGGGATAATTCAGGGATTTTTCCGTCAGTAGCCGCATGTACTGTGGACGGTGTTATCTGTGAATGGAGACGTACCTGCTGAGGCTCTGGACTTTGTGCCAGGAGAGTTTGGACTCCAGCTGTCGATGAGCCAGGGCAATAACCCTGAAGCCCTGCCTGGTGTAAGTCTCCAGAGTCTCTGCAAAACTATGTGGGACTGAAGAGAAGGACAGAGCCGTGTCAGTCTGGCCTGGATTTGTTTTTTTTTTGTTGTTTTTGTAGTAAGTGCAGAGAGGTTGTACCTAAAGACACTGAAATATATGCAATTACTTTGTGTATCTTTATATGGATCAATGGGGGAAACATGTGGGGGAAGTGTCAGACCTGTGTGCTGTTTGCAGAGGCTGGCCACAATCTCCGGCGCTCCTTTCAAGTAGCTGTGCATGTGTTTTTCCCCCAACCTCCTGACCACCACACTCATCCTCTGCAGCAGCGAGGAGAAGGGGAACTGACGCACGATACCGATCTCACAAGGCTGAGGGGCAAAAGACTCATGTTGTACACACACAATACAGCTACTTACTTGCTTTATTGGCTGAGAATTTAATGAACAGATTGATAACACACTAATTAAAAAAGTGAATGAGTATATTTCCCCAAAATGTCAAACTCTTTGCTTTAAGTTTTCGTGAAAAAAGAACTACTTACTGATAATTCAGACAGCTCCTGAAAAAGGAAAATATGTGATTGATTGAATGATATTAAAATACACCTCAAAAAATAAATATATTTCTGTATAGCCCAAATAAAGGCATGGAGAGCCACGGTACCATGTTCTGAGTGAGCAGGTCGTTCTGATTGGCTTCAGGGTCGGCGTGCTTTGGAGGTCGCACCACAGTGGGCATTATGGGATTGTGGAGTGCGGTCTCTTCCTCTGTGGGCTCCTCTAGGATCTAAAGAAAAATGAGATTATATGATAAAGACTTAATAATGTCTCAGTCTCAGCTTCCTCTTGAAGGGAAGAGTTGTTTTCTGCTGTTCATGCTGGAGCATCCCCGGTACCAGACTTGAACCATTTTAGCCGAGTCACTCTGCCAAAGCGACGAGCGCGCTGCTGCATAATTCATGTACAGACTGGTCTCCGAGCAAGCTGCGGTTCCTGTGACTAAAGAATGCCGGGTGTAAAACACTGATCCCTGTTCCTCACCCAGCCTGTGGCGCTGAACATCTTGAGGTCTAGAGGGTCCCCGGAGAGTTCGCCCTCTATCTTGGTCAGCGAGTGGCAGGTCGCCATGCAGGCCACAAAGGCGGAGTTCACCAGACTCTCTTTCGCTGCGTCAGACTCTGGTGGAGAAAAGCTGCGACGGAGAGGGAGGATCTGACTCAGCAGTTGGACTGTTTGTGACCACGACAGGAGCAAATTATATACAAATATAATGCTGTGTAAATAAGGTCATGTAAGTGCTCTTGTGGTTACTAATGACATCATGTGCAAACGCTACAAAAATGTTTTTTTTTACTGACAGACAAGAATCCTTTTCCAGAGAGAGATAAGAATCAAAACACCCACAGAACAACATTATTAGACATTATTAGTAACATTTTTTAGTAAACAACGTTTTGGGTGTTTAAGCGTCTGTGAATATGTTTCTTTCTCCAACGTTCTGGGACGGTATGTGTAGGACAGAGTGGACACATTTACTTTTCTTTTAGATTCCTCCAGTGTGTAATCTCAAGAAACAATTTCTAGATAAAACAGCCAGACAGGAAGAGCCCTTTGTGGCCAGTCTAGCAAGTTGAATAGCAGACAAATCAAGGTACAGTACTTTCTTACAGTACTCCCATTTATGCAAAAATCATATGGAAATTCAATTCACTACTGTCATAAAGAGTCCTGTTGATTGATGTGCATATTTACAGACAACCGCCTAACAACAGAGATGTTACAGAGGTTGTTACAATGATATAAACTGAATGCCAAGTTAGGAAATTTCATATAAATATCATCCTACTACACTCAAGTCAACCCTAGCTTCTGAGGAATGTCAAAGAAAAGGAAATCCCCCTCGTTTGGCATGAAAACAGCCAGAATACTGAAGAAAAATCCATTCCCACAGTTGGAAGAGTAAAATAAGCTGCTTTCCTACAACATCTGCTCCAGTTGCCGTCATCATTTCCCTCCAGGCTTTTGACTCTCAGTTACTCCCCGAAAACTGACGCAGATGTGTTTGTATTTCCCAACAAAGCCAAAGGCAAGAGGTCACCTCCTACCTGCCATCTTCAGCTCTCTGAATACCCCACAGGTCCAAACCGTCCTCAGTCAAAGTACCAGTCTGAAGGAGAAACAAATACAGATGTGCAACAACACTTAGTAATCACGTCTCAGAATATGAAATGAATCTAAACAGCCCACGACTCTGAGAGGGGCAGGCGTTTGGTGCAACTTTAAATTATAGTAAACACATATAATGAACTATTCTTAGGGTCTTTTCTTAATCTACAATCTAGTTAATGTGTATTCACAGGAACTTGCTCCTAACCTGCGACGACATGCACACACACTTTCTGAGCACTACTAAAATACAAAGTAAAGCAACCGTCAGCTTCTTCAAAGACGTTGTTCAGACAGAAACACTTTGCTGCTGTTTTACATTGAGACTGTTGTTATAGTTGTGGATTTCTATCCACAGAAATCCACAACTATAAAGAGATTTTTTTTTTTTTAAAAACACTTTCAGGCAGCGATGAATTACAGCTATGACGGCGATATGACTTCCTCACAGGAAACCATCTGTGCACTCACAAACCAAACTTTGATTTAGGGACTAATGTCAACTGCAACTCGTTTTCAGCACTTATACATCTGTTTCTTTTCTCAATTAATTACTTGGTCTAGAAAATGTCTAGAGCCCACGTAAACCTTTTCAAATGACTTGTTCTGTCTGTCCAACAGTCCAAACCCAACAGAATAAAAAAAAAACATTTCCTTGCTCACTACATGTGTTATAATGAAAAGAACATTTCGTGCTATAAGCAGCTTGAATGAACATTTAAGCTCGTACAGTGTCGCTGCTCCTGTTATAGATGATATAAGATGCTTTCCAAGTAAATCAACATCAGAGCATTTACAGATTTTAAATGTGTGGTGCTTGATGTTGTGGCCAAATTGAGTCATTGCACAACCTCAGCTCTGCCTCAGGACAGGATTCATTTTACATTTATGGGTTAGGGTCATAAAACCATGAAGTCAGTCTCAAACCAGAACTTGTACTTGAAGTGGAAGTGGGTTTCAGATGCTTCATAACTCATTTTCATGCATTCTGAGTCAAGACTTTATTTAGTCCAAGTCAAGGACAGTTCCAAGACATGATCCTGTGACGCATGATGAAAACAGAGCCTGAAATTCAACGATACAAACTGCATCTACTGAATTCTTCACAAGAAAACTAAACTGCACAACATGACAAAATGTGCTTTGGACTACCTTGTCAAAGCAAACCAGGTTAAGTTGACCACACATGTTGATCCTCTGGGGACTGATGCAAAAGATGCCGACGCGCTTCAAGCGCCGCTGCGCGTACACAATACCGGCTGTCATGGCCGCCGGTAAGGCCGGCGGCACAGTGATGGTGATGATGTCCAGAGATTCAATGATGATGGTTTTAGCTGGAACCTTGACGGGATCGAGAAACAAACCATCATGAGTTGAAATTGAGACGCTTGTAGTTCCTCTGTAAGAGCAGCTGTACCTTGTTCATTATACTGAGGACGATGGTGTAGATGAAGCCGATCCCTGCCACCCCCACCAGACACAGCAGGAACAGGTACGCATCGCGGTACAGCTTGAAGTCTGTGGGTTTGGGGTAGAGGATGGATCGCACGAGCTGGCCTTTCTCTGTGCTGAAGCCTGTGGGAGCAGTAAGCAGAAAGATTTGATCATTTTCTTGTAAACACTTACAGAGTGTGCCACCATTAGGGCGATCAGTCTGTTGTTATCTGTTTCCCTCGGTCGGTCTCACCTGTTCTGACCACAACAGCCTTCACCAGTTCACCGGTGTAGAAGCGCGTCTGGATCACGTGGGTGCCACAGAACAGGGTGTGTCTCTTGTGCTCCTCTATATTGTAGCTCCCGGCTGCCTCCTCACCTAAACTGGGTAGACTGGTCTTGGTAACCGGCACGCTCTCTCCTGAAGATGAAGGGAGAAGGAACAGACGTCCAACAAAAAGCACATCTCAAACATGGACAGCAGCTGCAGTGTTGTGCACAAGTGTAAACACAAGCCGGTGCATGATGAGAGCATGTCATAAAATATGGCACTTTTAAACCGAATTTCTGTAAATTCACTGTATTTAGTTTTAGTTTTATCTTGAACATAGAGCCTTGAAATGTATTTATATATGAACTAACAGAACTTCTTTTCATTCACCTGCCAATATTCACCAATCATTAGATAAAAACAGATATCAGTAAAAACACATTTAAAGATCTAAGATGTGTACTGTATTAAACATTATGAGACATCTGACAAATACAACATAAATTATTATTGACAGGCTGATTGATAAAAAGCTAGTGAGTTGTCGGGCTTGAGCTCTTCAGGCAGGTCCTTCCTCTAAATCTACAACAAATGAGTAACAAGTGAAGAGAAGCTAAAAACAAATACAATCTCTTTCTCTGGTTTCAGATAAAAGTCTAGCAGCTGCATTTTGTACTAGTTGAGCGATTTCTGTAGCAGTAGTTTCGTCATGAGGAGACAAAGCCATACATGACAAGGGCTGCATCTTTAAAACTCAAAACTGGATATTTTGGAATTATCTTCAGTAAAAAACAGAGCTGGCAGTAAATCACTTTCCTCCATGACAAGCACTGTGACCAACAGAAAAGGAGAAAAGTCTCTAATATCACAGAAAGACCGAGGCCTGTTTCTCCCCTTCGATGCCATCTTAAAAACAGAAATGAGACACTGTGTTAACTGTGAGGAGGGAGCATCCATAGAGAAACACAACCTGTCAGCATGCTCTCATTTACAATACAGGTTCCATGGATGAGCAGGGCGTCGCAGGGCATGATCATCCCATTGGCTGGAATGATGATGACATCACCGGGCACAAGCTCCGTCGACATGGCCTCGTCAATATCTTAGGGGCAGCAATAAGAGAGAGAGCACGGTGTAAAAGATATCGTGAGGATGCTATCAGAGATCAATAATGCGGTTTATATATTAATGAATTATTACTGCTTTACACCATCAACACGTTTAAGAGAAGATCAGTCGTTCGTGAATGATTGAACTCCTGCTTTCACTAATCTGCAGCTCTGTTACAATCGGAGAGGAGAGCTCACCTTTACTTCCTCTGCACAGCGAAACACGGACCACACTGTGTGCTGCCACCATGTCATGTAGCATCACGTATTGCTGAAATGACAGAGACACTGACTCAACTGAAAACACACACAAACACACACATTTATGAATACGATTATTAACTGACACTGCTACCACCGTGCATCTCCCATACAAGTTTGTATGTTTGTAATGTGTCCGTTCACTTCACAACCTTCCCGGGGATCAGACATGACTCACCTTTTTAATGGTATACAGTGAGGTAGCTATTGAAATGACAGACATGAACACTATGGCTGTGGCGTAGTAGTAGTAGTCCTCTGCGCTCCACAGAATAACACTGAAGAGCTGGAAGATGTAGAAAGGATTCAGGACCTGACGGAGGAGGAGACAGAAACACAGGCTGAAAGCATGAGAGAGGGCATTCATCATATGACTGGTATGTTAATAGAGGAGATGTTGCACTTGATAAGCTAAGCCCTAAACTCACCTCCTTTATGAGGAGCTTGAATAGAGAGGGCACTCTCACAGCGATCTCATTCTCCTCGAAAAACAACCTCCTGTTGAAAAGGAATTAGAAAAAACAGCAACACGTTTCAAATGTAGGAAAGAAAATTAAAGGTGCTATGTGTAAGTTTTTGCTATTGCTACATAGCTAACGTTAGCATTAGCTGTTCAGCATCAAACTTCATTCCTTTGCTCACCAACAGCTGTCTCCAGTGGTGGAAAGAAACACTTATGTTAACTCTTGTCTCCATCACATCTTTTCTTCTACTGAAGTTAGCATGCTAACCAGCTAGCTACGGCCCAGTCTAGCCGTCTCACCACTCTCTGATACTGATTCACTTTTGCGTCCAGTATTATAACTTCTCATATTGTAAAATCAACAATGGCTGAAGCTCTTGGCAATGATGGTAAGTAAGCAGCTGTTAATGCTAACGTTAGCTATGCAGCAATAGCAAAACTTACAAATAGCTCCTTTAATGATACTTAACAATTTGCACAGGGCTCTATAACCCGACACCTTCTCCACAATTAATTTGAGGAAATAATGTTTCTGTAAATTACTGAATGAGATGGAAGTGCATCACAAAACAATCCGTAGGAAAAGACGACGTGTGTGTGTGCATGTTGTGTACCTGTAGTCCTGCAGTGTTTTAGAAAGTCCAGAGCTGTGGTCAGAGTGAACACTTGCACAGCTCAGCTTCACATCCTCCAGGCCTCTAGAAAAGTCACACACATATTCATGACTACTGCAGCCTGGATTTACACCGGAGTGTTTTTCTGATCACATCAACAGGAAAAGGTTTTAATGAATGATGCTGTTAACAGCCGTGAAAGCAGAAAAATACAGTGTTTTTCAGTGGGCCTCTTACTTATACGTCTCAAAGTTCTGTGTCTCATCATCCCAGTAGTATTTAGTGCTGTGGTGGGTGAAGTAGTGGATCTAAGGAGGGGAGAACAGAGGGGGAGGAGGTGGTCAGATATCGACTGTGTAACAAAATCTAGACTCCAAACTTTACTGCATGTTAAGAAAAGGCAGACACAGTTTCCACTGAGTTACCTGAGCATTCTGCCTCTCAGCAAATTTCCCATGATGCTCCTCGTGCACAGCGCTGACGCTGTGGTCTCCGTCTCCGTTCGGCAGCTGAGCCGTGGGCTGCAGATCCAAGCTGTCGAAGGGTTTCTTCCCCGGAGCCAACATCACATGTACTTTGGCTCGAAACCACTGCCTGAACTCATCCTGTGATAACATTACAAAGAATTACATTTTTCCTTGGCCGTGAGGCAACACTGAACTTATCATTTGTAGTGTTTACAGTGTGTGTGCCAAAGAATGTAACAAGGGTCTGGATGATCTGTGTACAGTGGTATGATATGCTGTAAGAAAATGTTAACTCAAAATCCACTGAAAGAAGCAAGAGATTCACTCACACAGACAAGATGCGTTAAATCTAAATCCACAAAAATGTGTTTGTTTTAGCAGGTGAAGACAGCGATCGCCTCATTTAAGCTACAAATGCAGACCTTACAAGTGTGTATATGTATTACAAATAAAGTAAAACAAGTTAGGTGTGCGAAAAAAGAAAGCAAGTACTGTGGTCCTGAGCAGCAGTGTGTGCGCGTCCCTCAGCGAGGTGTGTGTGCAGGTGCCCTTGACGCCCCACTCAGGCAGCCAATAGAGCAGCAGCAGCAGGAGACCACAGGAGCAAACAGCACCTACGCCCACCAGGATCATCTTCCACAGACAGGGCCGGTACCCCCACACCTCCTGCACAAGGACGTACTGATGTAAAGAGACTGAAGGGACAGATGTAAACACTGCATTCATTAGTAACTATTTTTAGCTGCGGGCTTTGGTGAGTATTTACAGCAGCAGGACAGTGTATGTGGGATTAACTCAAAATAAACTGCAGCCCCTGCGCTCATGGTAAATAAAAGAATTAAATATGAAGCTACAACCAGCAGCCGGTTAGCTATTAGTTTAGCATTAATACTGGAAACATGGGGAAACATCTAGCATGGCTCTTCTCTGACAAACTGGGAGTACCACCCATTAGTGACCTTTATGGGTGCTGGTATTTTGTTACCTTCCAACAAAGCCAGACTGACTGTTTTTTTCCATTTCCAGTCTTTCTGTGAAGCTGAGTGACTAGATAAAACTCAGCATCATAGTGAATAATCATATTCCCCAAAAATGTCAAACTACTACTAAAAGCATTGTGGCATTCAGCCCCTCTGAATCCAAACCAGTTTAAGATCCATTATCACTATGACATTTCCAAATCCTCCAAACGACCTCGTAGTGATTTCAGTGAGTGAGATTACATTTTAAATCAAATTGAAGGCTGCGTTCATTCGAATCCCCTGAAGCATATGTCCTTTAAGAACTACACACATAAGAGTCACCAATTATTCACAAATTGTGTGACACCTTTCAATCACAGGAATGTAATTAAGCTTGTAATCAGCTGACCAACCAAAAACCGCCCAACTGTTCTCACTACACAGAGTTAATATTTTGGAGATTGTTTCAAGAAAAGACAAAAGAGGTCGACAGTCAACACAAAATAAAACGATTGAGGGAAACTAGCAGTAAGACGGGAAGTGATATTTACCATCTCATCCTCCAGGCCCTTGTTTATTATCTTCACCTCTCTCATCTTCATTCTGTCAGACGTTCAACAACTACGAAGAAAGACAAAGGAAAAAAGTTAACTATATCTCCAACCGGTGTTTAACTTGCTGAAGCTTTGTCATTACAGAAGACTTCAGCTCCGTCTGGTCAGCAAGAGATGTTGCAACTCCAGTGTCGGTCAAGGACATTAAAGGATTCAGTTTTATGACTTCAGAAGCAAAAAACCGCCCAAAGCAAGAAAAAGAAGGTCAGGGATTCATTTACTTTTCTATTACATGAGTTCATTTTCACCTCTGGAGACAAAGAGAAGAAGTGGAATTTATTTGTGTGGAGTCATGTTTGTAACATACAGCAAGGAAGAGCCTGACTTACATTACCCCTGCTTGGTAAATAACGAGCTGTCTGTATGGAACAAAGATCTTTTACGCAAGTAACGACCTCACCTACCTTCCTCAGGGCCGCCACATGGACACTGTGTTTAAGGCCTCCAGTGATATGTATCAGAAATCTTGCTTATGCATGATCCCAATTCAATTAACTAACAATTTTTTTGACATCAAGTCGTGAGGCCAATCTGCGTGATACGTTGTTGTGGAGTTGAGCAGATACCTGGAAACCTTTGCACTGTGCACACACAATCATGTTCAATAACAGTCACACCTACAGTAATGTTTGACTCACAGTCTCTCTGACCAGACCTGTCAATAAGAGCCGTCACCTGCAAACTGAGAAAAATAACACAAAAACTAACTCTATTTCTTAAGATAACACACCTTGGACTTATTATTTCACAACTTCATGTTACAGTAGATTCATTTTTTGACACTTTAAGCAAAGAAAAATATTTTTCTAACATTTCTGAAATGTTAAAAAGGTTTGGCAAAAACATACGACACAAATAATTGATGGCATAAATGCTCAACATGTTTACTATGACAAATTTAAAAGTACAAAGAGCCTCTATGATGATTTGATTAGACAAAGGTTGTGTCCATTACTCTGAATACTATGTCAAACCTTATAAATGTAACACCTCATACCACGAACACCATCCCCAACATGAACCCTGGTGGTGGCAGCATGAGCCTGTGAGACTGCTCCTCTGCACCAGGTCCCAGAAAGGCTTATACAACAGAAATAAATAGAAATCCTGCTTGCACCCCTGCTGCGGATCCAGACTTGGGATAAGATTTATTTTTCCAGCAGGACAAAGACCCCAAACATAAAGCCAAAGCTACACAGCAACGGTTTCCACATCAAGTCCAGACTTCTGTCCAAACCAGAGTCTGTGGCAGGACCTCAAACTTTCGGAGCTTTTTTGCACAGATGTGCAGAGCTGATATAAACCAACTGACTCAAGAGTGTAACTGCTGCAGAAGATGCCTCCTCTGTAAACTGACTTCAGGGAGCGACAACATGTGTTATTAGAGTTAGAGTTTTAACATTATAGGACATGCAAGTGTCAACAAACCCCAATAACCTCAACACAGTTCAGTTGTAAAACAATAAAGCAAAGTCTAAGGAAGTGTTCACTTTTCATAGACACTGAACAACTCACGCTTTATATGCGCAAACTGAGAAACCCTAAAATGACACTTTCCACACTGGTGCAATTCGATATCTTGTGCAAACACACGGCGAATGCAAAGAGACTTCCAGTCGCAGTAACTTTTACCTACGTGGTGCAAAGTCATATAATAGTCTCGCAAGTTGCTGAGCTGCAGCGCCTTTTGCTTCATCTCTCCATAACACATCAACACATGTCATAAACACCATAATAAGCTCGAGTTGATGCGTTTTAACGACGTACCAGTGCCTCCTCTGCTCTGTCACTGAGTCACACGGTGCATGGTCGGATCGTTGTGATAAAAGTTTTCTGCAGCCTGTGAACACTGACTATCTGAACTACATGTGTCTGGAGAAGCGCGCCGACACGCCACAGATCCACGCTGCGCTGGGACCGGACCGTCCCAAACCGGTCCATTCAGAAGGAAGTGGGAAAACAGGATGTGAGGTCATTAGAGGACACAGCGTTTGGGCTGAATTTCTGCAAGTTGCAAAAAAAAAAAAAAAAAAAAAATCGGAAGAACTGCAGCGGCATGTGCACAGAGCAGTCAACCTGCAACTGGTGGTGAAATCCCAGCCTCATGTCATATTTTTTTTTTTTTTTTTTTTTTACTGCTTCTGTTCATGCAGCAACACAGTGGTTGATCATATGCGGGTCATTGGTTGGAGAATATGGCATGTTTAGCTGTGAGACTGGTGTTATTTCGGGTCAGTGGCAGAGAAGAAATAGTCTGTGACTTGGCCGAGGTTTCACCAAGTCCTGGAATAACCTTTTGAGTCTTTATCACAGATGTTGGAACAAAAACACAAAGGGACAGCTGGTGTGATTTTAAAATGAATTTATCTTCACTTTAGAAAATGACACACTGATTAAATCTTAATAAATTTTTCACATAAACCTGCAGAATGTTTTAACAAGTCGGGGTTCTTTCTCATGCTTTCATAATAGTTATGAAATTAATGATTTTTAGTAATAAAAAAAAAATGAAATTACAAGATGCCACATGTCCTACAGTCAAGTACGATTTACAACACTGGATCACACCCTTGCACAGTCTGTACATTCAATCCAACTCAAAAAAGTCTTGCGCTCATACACGTTTCAAAAAAAAATAACTCTATATGGTCATTTTCCAAAGACACGTCAGCTTTTATTTTCCACTTCTTTAACAGCAGCCTGCGGCACAGCGGCTCCACGTCCTCCCCCTCCTGCAAGACAACAACCCGTCAAATTCAAATCAACGCAGTCACAAACCATATCAAGAGAGTTTACGCAGGGCAGAGAGAAACTGTCGTTTGGCTGTTTATGGAAACTGATTGAAATCTATAATAAACAAACATCCATATAAAAACCAGCCAAGACTTGATCCAACAACGCCCAGAGTTACAGGCTTATCGAGAAAGTGAGGAGCTATCTCAGCTTAGCCTGTAGCCTGAGACCAGCAGGTCAGTCCAACATGAAAGTCAGATTTGTCCCCGTATCAAACAATGGATGAGTTTGAGGAAAATACCTCCAGCTTAAAGAGGAGAGATTTTTTTTTTTTTTTTTTTGCAAAAATGCTAAAAATTAAAGAAAAAAAAATTCTAAAGGTGCGAACTGCTCCTGTCATCTTGAAAGACAAAGGTAGGATGCAGTTATTATTATTCTTTGCCACCTTGGGGCAGCACAATAGACTCACAGCACAAAATGGACATATCGACTAGTTATGTTGTTAAGGTGAATAGTAAAGCTGTGCTATAACACAAACTGTGTGATTTACTCTTCCAGCAGATATGAGGTAGTGTTAGCATTAATTTGGAGTCATGCTTGTGTCCTATATTCACTCCCCTTTTCTGTTTTGGTCTCCACCCACTCCTGAGGGACGTATCTGCCTCTTTAGCTGCTAAATGCCCCGCTGTGTTCGCCAGCTGGTCACTACCTGTGTCTGTGCTGCACAGAGGAGGCAGCGTACACTGGGTTTCTCTGAACCTTTTTTTTTTTTTGGGTGAAAACAGGATGAGAGCTGTGAGAGTGAACCAAAACATTAAAAAGGTGCCAAGAACCAACTCCAAGAGAATGAACTGAAAGATGGTGAAGGACTGAGGAGAGCTGCTCCCGACAGGTGAGACCCATCACATTACACTCATTTCATCCATTGTTAATATAATAATATTGATTTGTGGAGTTTTAAATTTAAACTGTAATTACATCTCAGTCGTTGTTGACCTCACTATAAAGACCCTTTGATTTAACTGTAGGACTCAGTGTTACCTCCTCTGCTGCCTCTCCCAGCTCTGCCTCCACGCCCCCCTCTGACAGCCCCCCGACCTGCAGGCTGACCACCAGGACGCTGCGCCAAGCCTCCTCTGGCTCCTTGGCGACTCTTTTCACTCTTGGGTTTTGCATAAGCCACATTCACTTTGCTGCCATCTATCTCACAGTCCTCCATGGCTTCTTTGACAGCTTTGCACTTTTCTTCGCTCGCAAACTCCACAAAACCAAAGCTGAGAAAAACAAACGAGACACGCGTAAAGACTTCAAGAATAGGTGAAAAAATATGAAACATTTTTAGACAATTAAAACAGTGAATGTACGTTACGCTCCCAACCTCTTGGAGACTCCAGTCTCTTTATCTACAGTGACTCTTGCACTGAGGGCTCCTTCAAAGGCACCTTTAAGAGTCTCTGCAGTCGTCTTCTCAGCCAGGCCCCTTACAATCAGTGTTTTTGATATGACTAACAAGAAAAAAAACAACACACAGCTGTGCTATCAGCATCTTCATAACTCATCGCGACTCAAACCGACTTTACAGACACTTGAAATTGATGTTTTGCCTTTAATAAATATCATTTTCCCCTGATTAAGCAGCTCAGTAGACAACATGTATCATGAGTAACACAGCAGGGACTCTCCCACATACCTTTTGCCTTCTGTGGCTTTTCTCTCAGTTCAAAGAATTGGACTCTGATCTGCCTTTTGGACATCTTCATGTTTTGGGACTCCTGCAAAGCCTTTTCAGCATCTGCCACAGTTGCAAACTCGACAAACGCATATCTGCAGAGAATTACAGACGTTTCTTGAAGACATTCAAACACTTTCTGCGATGAAAAAAAATATAAGGTGGGCCAGTGTACATGTATTTACCCTTTTGATTTGCCTTTGCTCTGAGGCATTTTGATGCTAACAGCTTTCGGAAAGATTTTGTTGAGGCTTTTTTCTTTCGCTTTGTACAACAAATTGCTCACAAATAAGATGTTGTTTGGAGGAGCTGCAGCTGTGAGAAAGAAGAAGGATCTTTTGTGAATACAGATTTAATTGACTGATGTCCAGATCAAAAAAAGAAAAGAGGACAGCTGTAGTATCATGTTGACTATCAATAGTACATTTCTAAATATCCAATGATTTACCTTTTGTGTTGCTGTCTTCGTCAGTAGCGTTGGTGACTTTAGGTACAGTTGTTTCTCCTACACAGTCCACAATTAAAACCCGGCCTTGGATCTTTACTCCCTGTTTTTTCTGCTGTACTTTCTTAGCAATGGTTTTATTTTTGAACTCCACAAAGGCAATACTGTCGAAAAATAAGGAAATTTCATTCAGTACACATTACAAACATCCATTTAATTCATATCTTTTATTTTCTAATAAACATCATAATCACAGAATTATTTTGCTCATTTGACATAATTGTATAGTTAGGAATTGAACCATAACACAGGTTTTTTTTTTTAACTCTCACCCTTTGCTTGGGCCTTTAGTTCCACCAGGAAAGCGGATGGCGACGGCCTTGTGGAAGACTTTGAGAATGTCTTTTTTTGTTGCGGTGTATGGGATGTTCTTCAGAAACAAACATCTGGCATCTTTTACTGCCAAAGACGGGACGTCAGATTAGACCAAAAGTCTTACATCACATGACTTTATAATGTTTTGCACTGCAAGATGGTATCATAAAATCATTATTTAAGAAGTTGATGGAGAAAATCCAACCTAAAGTCCATATTAGCCAATAAATGGCACTACCACTGCATCTGTATCTAGAGTGAGAAGTAGCACATGACTTAAAGTGATGTATAATTGAACAATTGTCGTTAGACGGGTTACCTTTTTTGTCCACCTGTGGAGCTTTCACCTTCACCTCGTCCTCACTTTTGACCTTTGCTTTAGCGATCGTCAAAGGCTTATCAAGGATCTTCTCTCCATTTAACGTCAAGGCTTTAGTCACGTCCATCTCTGAGGCCATATCTACATGTGCATGTTTCCTACAACAGAAAAATATTACTTTAGAGCTAATTTAGCTTCTTCGTCAAATGCACCTACTACAAAAAAGAAAAAAATGAAACCTGAGAGTAAGAATTTAGTTAAAAATAAACTCACTTCGACCGGTCTAATCGGATGCCTTGAACCAGGAGACTTTGCGTCATGAAGTAATTTGCTAACGAATCTCTGACCTCTTCAAATGGTTTGGACGTGTTCAGGTTGCCAACAAAAACACAAAAACCTACAACAAAACAAGACAGTGAAAATTTTTATAAGAAAAATTTGGTTGTTTTACAAAGACTTTAGCACTTGGTCTTATTTAGAGTTCATACCGTCATTTATGAGCTTGGTTTTCTTTGACGGGGAAGTGTCAATGTTAGAGTGTGTCTTCCGTTTCCCATTAACTGCAGCAGATAGGAAACAAGTTAATTATCTGGTTACAACATCATAGCTAAATAAAATTAATACAAGCGGCCGGCAGTGTGCAGGATTTCTGGTCTCTGCTCAGTTTAGACTCAGTTTAGAGCAACAATTTCCACATATTCAGCCACATTGATATTTGTCTCCATAATTAATTTCAAAAAGGTCAGGTTGATATTGATATTATGGAGAATGTTTACTCTAATGAGGGAATTTACAAATTTACAAATAAAAGAATTACTCATCAAGATCTGAATGTGGTCCAAAACAGGTCTGATGCAACTTTAAAAAAAAAAATAGAGAAGAGCTGAAAGCTTTTACTAGTTTTACAGCGTTTGCTTAAAAATCAATGGATTTCATAGTTTCCAATGGTTGCAGTGTTTAGAAGACTGTCCTCAGGTTGCTACTGTGACACAATCGGAAGATTCATCCCCATTTTAAGTGCACATCACTTGAGGGCAGGTGAGAAAGCTGTGAAGAAGTTATGTGTGAGTCGGACAATGGAAGAAACAAAAGAAACTCTTCTTGAAGCAGCCGTTTCATCACTGTCTAATTGTTAACTCTCCTTACCTGCTAACTCTTCAACAACCATCTGTTCACTTCCTTTGCTTTCCTGTTTAACACGACCGCTCTGTCCTCCTTCATTCTTCTTTGCCAGAGTCACAGTTACTGTGGGGGTACATTCGCTTTCTCCAGTGGCGGTGTCCATTTGGGATTCTAAAGAGGAAACCCTGTTACTGGCGCCGCTCAGAATTGCTCTCAAGAACATTGTTTATGTTGTATTGTCATTATCTTTTTCATCTTTGATCTCCTCCATCTTGGTCTCAGAACTCTCACTGGGAGTGTTGCTTATTAATTCAGCCGAAGAGACTGCCCGAGTCTGTTCTTCATTTATACGATTTAAGGACAATGAAAGCCTGTCAGAATCAGCTGTTAACGTTGTACATGCAGCCTCCATTCTTCAGGAAGACCAACCAACAAACTTTTTGTAGCCTTTACTCAAGCCGGTAGGGGGTAGGTTTTTCATACTTTAAGTTTTTTTGGGTGGAATATCCCTTTAAACATTAAATAACTGTCGGTTTCAACACTCATACATACACAAAGGTCTGTGGTGAATACAAGTTGTTACCATCAGGACAGAGGTACAGGCTTCTTGCGCCCAAAGATCCTTTACCTCCCAGAATAGCGCTGTTAAACAAACCTTGAAGATATGAGCGGTGTGTCACTTGCATTTTTTGAACCTAATTCCTGATTGTTGGTGATGTTGCTGTGGAGTGCTTTGTTGTTAAATGTCTGTCTTTATTTGTAATGTCTTTTCTGTTGTGGTTGTATTTATCTGACAGTCACAGGCACAAAGAGAATTTTGTTTGTTATGGTTACAATTCAGTTTGTAAGTGAGACATGCTGGCCTGTTTTCTTTTAAATCTTAAGTTTCAGTCATAAAAACCAACATCACTTAATGACAAACACTTCAGTGGAGGAAGAGTCTTTGTTTCGTAAAAAAAAACAAAAAAAAACACAGATTATGTAATGCACCAGTAACTTTTAAACAGCCTTACCACTACGCATCATCTCTCTTGCAGTCATCTGATTACTTGAGTTGGTTCTCCTTTCCAAATCCTCACCCTCTCCTTCCTCATTCTTCTTCTCCCAGGATACGGTTACAGTAGGTGTGTTTGCTTTTACTTCAATGACAGTGTCCATCTGAGAATCTGAACACGTAGCTTCATTACTGGCACTGTTCAGAATTTCAGTCAGACATCATGTGTGATGCGTTTGTAATACCTTGTTCATCTTGGTCCTTCTCCTCCTGTTTCATCTCTGTCCTCTCAATCTGTCCTTCTGAAAAAAAAAAAAAACGACATTAATTGAATGATTTCTTATTACCGCAGATATTAAGTTCAAGCGGTTGTGTTCACTGTAGATTCTCAAGTTGTTTGAAAGATATGACTTGCCAGTGTTAACGTTGTGCTCTTCTTCTACAACTTCATTGGTGATGACCTTGCTTTGCCTTTTTCTACTATTTGTAGCCTGAAAGAAACAAATGCGATTCTGACATTACGACCCAAGTGTGTTCTTGAGGACTGCAACTTCAAATTCATCCCAATATCAATTCATTTGTCAGTTATATTTACCATGTACCATTTACATTTAAAGTATGACATTTAAAATGGAAGATGCCCACAACCAATTCACAGAGACCAAGGTGATGTCCTCAAAAGACTTGAGCTGTCTAACAAATCCCCAAAATATTCAATTGTACGTGATATCTAACAAAAATGAAGCAAATCCTCATGTTTCAGAGGCTTAAACCACTGAAAGTGGGACATTCTCCCTCGATAAATAACTGACACTCTTAATTATCAAGATGTATGTCACTTAACTTCTGTCAATCAACTAAGTTTATCGATTAGTGTACTTATGAACTAGCCAGACCTGAGAGTTAAACGTAATAGCAATATTATGACTTTGTATCCGCCTAAAAACAAACTGACATGCAATGCAGTTGTACGTTAACAAATGAAACAGTGTTTGTAGGTAAACCTCTGGTTTCTGATGTGACTACCACCAGCTAACCTGTTAGCTAGTTAGTTTGCAGCTAATAAGACCACACAACAGTTACCTTAAAACTATGTACTTAATGCACGTTGAAGCCTGGTTAATATAAATGTAATGTAACGTTTTTCTTACGTCTGTCTTTGCCATATTGTGTGTAACAAACGCACACAATCACAGGCTGGTGAAGCTAGTCGGAGCTGGTGAATACACGTGTGGTGGGCTACAAACATCCACATGCGCCTGTTTTAAACTACGCTCTGAGCATGCGTGTGTTACTACGGATGCCGAAAAGGACGGAGGGCGTGTGTTTACGTTCTTGCAATCTAACGATTCACATTGCCGGAACTCCCCTTTCAGCCACCTCAGCGTGCCACCGTCACTGCTATGAACACATGTTGGGTAAATACTGGGCAACACTGAATAATGTTTAGAGAGAGAGGCATTATACGGAGTGTTTTTCGAAGTTTCTTAAGCGCTCAAGTTTGATTTTCTGACAGCTAGCCAAGTAGCTAATTAGCTTAACTCTTCAGTTGACCAACTCCTATTTCAGTTGCATTTTCAGGTCTCCACCAGACTCAAGTCTGTGGAAACTGATTTTGAATATATTTGGCTATCACTTCAACCTGTACAATGACCGAACCTATGTTTTCCACATAGTGTGTGTTTGTCCGGCATGGGAAACAAACTTGAGCAATGTGTTGACTCCGACAGTTAGAACTGGGACTGGACTGCGAAGAACCCACGGTCCGAAGGTCAAGGGACAGCCTCAACACGACACATAACCTGGTGCAGATAAGGTATTGTCGGGTCACAACAACCAAGTCCAACATGAGTTGACAATGAAAGACGTGGTGCTCATTTGAGGAATACTGGGACATACGTTTCTACAATGGGGAGTCAGAGGAACGGTTTCAAGAAGGAAAGCTTCATTTTGTCAGTGGACGTCGGCACAACATCAATCAGATGTCACGTCTATGACAAGGAGGCAACAATCCGAGGATCATGCACCACCAAGGTATTCATCTGCTTGTCTTTATCCTTTTGGCTTCTTATTTGTCACGTATACCACCTACACGCATCACTCTCTTGAAACTTATATGTTTCCTCATATTATTCATTCACAATACTTTCTCCAGGTTGTCCCCTTGTACCCAGAGGTAGGACATGTGGAGATGGAGCCAGATGCACTATGGAAAGGGTTTATCACTGTGGTCAAGGGAGCTGTGCAAGGTACAGTTGCACCATTTCCTGTTGCTGCATTTATCCACAAACATACTCAGGCTTATTCAAGCTGTGATTCATTATTCATGGTAATTGACACGCCTATTACAAATTATATCTGACATAACACTGTTAGTACTACAAGCGTGTTGAAATGTAAATTGTTTCCAGTTTGGTCTTTTTCCAGTGTGAACAAATAAAGCAAGAAGAAGCCTGATTAACATATACTGAGATGCAAGAAAAACATATATAATACATACATAATAGCTCTGTGTGTGTGTGTGTGTGTGTGTGTGTGTGCTGCTATAGATGCAGGGCTACAAATGCGCCAGATAGAGGCCCTTGGCATCTCCACTCAACGAGGCACATTCACAACATGGGACAGGTAAATTGAATAAAAATAATTACTACTACTTACTTTTTTACTTTTTACTTTTCTTTATCTCCAGAAAAAGTGTATATCTGACAGGTTCATTTCACTTCCTCTCTTTTCCCCTGACAGGAAAACTGGAGTTCCCTTCCATAATTTTATCAGCTGGCAGGATCAGAGGGCTGCAGACTTGGTGAAGTCCTGGAACAGATCATGCACAATGAAAGTGAGACTTTGGCTGCTGTGCGTCTCTAACATGTAATGAAAAAGGAATGTAGTCTAGAGATGAGGGACGAAAAAGTAGAACATTTAAATGTTTTGAAATCAGCACTGTCCCTTCACACAGTGTGCCTTTTTATTGTTACTCCGACAACCTCAGGCAATCCATGGTGTGATGAAGGGGCTGTACTTCATGACCAGGCAGAAACGGTTGCTTGCAGCGAGTCTCATTGTTTTCTCCACTCAACATGTTACCTTCCGCCTCGTCTGGGCCCTGACATACTACAAGCAAGTGAGTGTGTTTGCACGTGTGCAGGAAAACATTTAAAGATGCCATAAACATCCATAAACATCAACATAAAGATGCCATAAACATCAAAGTCCAGAAGGAATGTGCACTGAAAAGCTAAAACCCCAAGTCAAGGTGTCTCACAATTAACCCAACTAATCATTTTCATTGAAGGTTAATATACCAATTATTTTCCTCATCAATTGTTAGAACTATAAAATGTTAGAAAATAGTGACAGATTTTCATCACTTATGATGCCAAGAGGTGGCATCATAAAATTGCTTGTTCTGAATCCATTAAAGGTGAAATAAATACAATCGTAGAGTATATGAATCAACAGATAAAGCTGATAATTTTTTGCAGTAATCATCGTCAAAACAAATGTCCTGTCATACAAATAGTCCTGGTTCGAAGCACGGCAGAGCATGCAGCTGAAACCCTCCCAGGAATGTGGGTGTTAAAGGGTTCACCTCTCTTCTCAGCCTCATCATGTTTCCCTCTTCTTCTAGGTCCGTCAAGCGGTAACTGAAGGCAACTGCTGCTTTGGAACGATAGACACCTGGCTCCTGTTCAAACTCACAAAAGGTGGGTTTGAGCTCATTTGAAAGCCATCTCTCAATGAGGACAATTTCTTCTCTAAACAGCACAGTACTATATCATTTGTTCAGTGGATTGCATTTCATACACTGTTAAGCAGGGTTTTAAGACCCAGACAGAAAGTTCTTTGTGTTTCAAATCCTGTTGCACGTTTCTCAGAAATGTTTTAGCTAACTCCTGTGGGAGTGGGTTTAGTTGGATAAATAACTGGGAGCTCAAACAAGTTTTTTTTTTACCTTTTTGAAAACATTTTTTTGATACATTCACCTTGTCTGTTTTAGGACACATCCATTCCACAGACTATTCTAATGCCAGTGCAACTGGCATTTTTGACTCCTATCAGGTCTGGTGTATGTTATGTTTGTTCACTGTTTTGTCTTTCTGTGTTTGGTGTGAGCTTTTTTCTTCAAATCACTATAATATGATTTTTTTTACAGATGTGTTGGAGTAGTCTGCTGTGCTCTCTTGTTTCTCTGCCTCTCACTATTTTCCCCAAAGTAGAAGATACAGGGTGAGTCATTTCCGCCAAATTTCAACACACTGTACACTCATCGGTTTCAGTCATGAGCTCAGTCATACTTTCATTATAACTTTATTTTTTTCACTCTGAACCTGAAACTGAAATGTTCTGCTCATGAGTATGTGTGATATGTCATTCATAGTTATTATAATTCTCCACATTTCAAAGTTTTATTTAAATATTCCAATCATTTCAAATCCACGTAATCCTGTTTTAAAAGTACGGCATCTCAGCATACGTACTGTTTAGTTGTAATTACAAATTCATGGCCTCCAAATGGCGTTTAGAGGATTGACAGAGAGTGTGAGATGATGCATTGTCTCTTGTTTCTCCTTCATGTTGCACCAGCCATGACTTTGGTTCCACAGACCCATCTATCTTCGGAGTATCCATTCCTATCATGTCAGTGGTGAGTTGTCAAGGTCTTGGCATGTCACACACCCTGTTATCAGTGTGATTATGTTAAAAAACATTCATTACAAACTTCTGATTCAGTTTATGACAGCGTGTCACCAACATTATGTTGTAAAATGGCTATTTATCCCAGGTGTTTGATTAATCAACAGCAGGGAACATGCAGCTTGTTTCATTCAGTTGAAACAGAATATTAAAAAGTGTTTAACACATGACATTTTGTTTATAGCTACTTTGTGGTAGAGGTTAAAAACAGACAAGACAGTGAATATAAACTGAAACGCAAGACACAAGGAATGAACTGGAACAGTGGAATTAAAAACGTACACATAAATTGGGACAGTATCGTACAGTATATACAGTATCCTGTATTTTACATCACATGAGTTTTAGACATTTTCAGTGTTGCTCAGGTGAGACTAAACCTGTTTAGGATTCAGTGTGTTCACAACAAACAAATGTGTTCCTCTGTCCCTCTGCTACAGATGGCGGACCAGCAGGCAGCCATGTTTGGAGAGTGCTGCTTTGATGTTGGCGATGTGAAGATCACCATGGGGACAGGCACCTTCATGAACATCAACACTGGGAGCAAACCACATACATCTGTAGCAGGTAAAGCAAAATACACAAACGTTAAGATAATAATATCCACACTTGTTCATTCAGGCACATTACAAGCCTGAGTTTCTTCTCTGTAGGTCTGTATCCTGTGGTGGGGTGGAAGATCGGCCCAGAGGTGGTGTACTTGGCGGAGGGTAATGCAGCAGACACAGGCACTGCCATCAAGTGGGCGCAGGAGCTGGGTGAGAATCAAGCTGTATACAATACCTGTGGAGATGGATTCTTTTAATTCATATTTATTATGCATTTTACAAGGAAACTGTGTGAGAGTGTTTGGAAGGTTTTACAGTAAAATTACGACAACACAAAATCAATAAGATAGTTGACAAACTAAGGTTACTTTAAGGTTATGTTACGTGGTGTTGTGACGTCAAACAATGTGTTGCTCAGTCTGAGCTTTTTAGCCTTGTTTTGGTTTCATAGTCTGTAACTTGTCTCATCATCGAGTCTCAAGTCACAATAGCAGCTGTTCAAACAGCAGACAGACGAAGCTAGAAACTAGCTGGTGAATATAGTGGAGCATTTAGCAGCTGAAGAGCCAAACATTTCCGTTGGGAGTCAGTGGAAACCAGAAACAGAACTAACAGAAGAGGTTATATTTGTCAGGTGTCCAGAAACGTGACTCCAAATGAATGCTCATGTTGCTTCGTGTCTGCCAAATGTGGTAGATTGCTTTTTAACATGTTCGGTATAGCAACTTTATAGGGTTATAATATGTCAGTTTTGTGTTTTCAGTTTGGCCAAAATTCTATTCATGCGTCTTTAAATCTATTCATGTTTAAGTGAATACCACTGATGAAGTCAGTAACTGACAGATTTATCGGGTGAAACCTGTGTGTGTTGTTGCAGAGCTCTTCTCTGACGTCCAGGAGACCAGCGCCATGGCTTACAGTGTCAATGACTCTGATGGAGTGTGCTTTGTACCGTCCTTCAGCGGCCTGCAGGTAGATGTGCAGTACAACATTTAAACATATGTGTCAA